TCGACGGGCTTTCTGACTTTGAAGGCTTCCCGGGCCGCATGGAAGGCTCCAGGAAGCTCGGGGAGGGCCGCTTGGACTTGGGGCCACAGTGCTGCGAGTCGGGATTCGACGTGCTTCAGGTGGCCGCCCTGAGACTGGTTCAGTCCGTTCAGGGGCTGTCGTACTCGAGCTCAGTTGGTTCGCTTCGGGGCTGCCTCGGGCTCTCCAACGCCCGTCTCTGAGCCAGTTTGGGCAAGACGGTGCGGACGCGGCCGCTCGAAAGCCTCGCAAGAAACAAGGGCTCCAAACTTCGCGCTTCACGCTGCGCGAAGCGCGAAGCGCGAATAACTTCGCGCCCTCGCGCCGCCTCCCAGGGGAGAAGCAGAGGATGAGGAGGAATCGGAGCCGAACCGCGAAGCGCGAAGCGCGAATAACTTCGCGCCCTCGAGGGCGCCCTTGAAGAAACCCAGCCCTGAACCCCCGCGCGCGAGATGCACACACGGTGTGGGACTGGCCATCGCTCGGACGTCCATTCCCTGTGTTTGTTTTCGGTTTCGTGCGTTTTTTTTTTTTTTTTTTGCCAAATGATCAAGGATGCTCCTCGATGGTCCTCGCCGGAGGAAAAATGCACACGTCCGAGCGATGCCAAGGGGAGGGGAACTTGGAGCACCCTGAACGCAGCCACTTCCTCCACGGCCGCGGAAGTCACCGCGCAGCGCGCGAAGCGAAGAATCCCAGGGTACCCTGACGAAAAGCACCTGGCTTCTGGATGCGTGCCTCCACTGCAGAAGCTCCTCCTCCTCCTCCTCCTTATCCTGCTCCTCCTCCTTCACCTCCTTCTTCTTCTCCTCCTACTCCTACTCCTCCTCCTCCTCCTCCTCCTCCTCCTCCTCCTCCTCCTCCTCCTCCTCCTCCTCCTCCTCCTCCTCTCCTGCTCCTCCTCCTCCTCCTCCAGGCTTGGCCGTATTGGGGCCCTGTTGGGGGTTCTCTTGAGCGGACGTTGGGGGCCTCCTATGGACTTCTGGGGGCTCTTCCGGGGAGCCTCGGGGCCGTCTTGGGTGGGCCCCTCCTTGGCCGTCTTGGAGCTCTCTGGGCCATCTTGCGGCGTCTTGGGGCGATCTGGGAGGCCCGTTGGCCCATCCTGGGGCGATCCCAGAGGCCCTTGAAACAAAGGGGGGGCACCGAAGGTTTGGGCCTCCGCGGGCCGTCCTCAGGGCCCTCGTGGGCCGTCTCGAGGGCCTCCTGGCCTGTCGTCAGGCCCTCTTGGGGCCGTCTCGGGGCTCTCTTGGGGTCCTCTTCGGCATTTTGGGGGGCTCTCCGAAGCGTCTTGGGCCTGCTGGCTAAGCTTCGGGTGACCCAAAAGGGGGTCCAGCTGAAAGGGGGTGGTGCAATAGACTCTGGGGCAATTGCACTGCAAATGCACTGTGCCAGAGAACTGTGTTGCATTGTATTGCAAGTAATGCGCGGCACGCGAGAATCCAGCAATACATGTGCGCCCCGGAGTGTACTGCACGCCCCGCATGTATCGCAACCCCACAAGTGTCTTGCACCAGATCTATTGCACCACCCCCTTGTCGCTGGACCCCCTCTTGGGTGAGCCCGAGGAGCTCGGCAGGGACGTCCAAGCCCGGAAAACTCCGGGGGAACTCCTGCACGGGTGTCCAGCAGGTCCCCGGGGCCGAGGATCTGGGGGGTCTGGTGTGGAGGGGGAGAGGTACAAAGGAAGATGCCTAAGAATAAGAACATGTAAATACCAAAGCCACGCTCGCGCGGGCGAAGCGCACGCTAAGGTTCTGGTCGGATCCGGAGTCGTTGTTGGTAGGCCTTGCACGATTCTTGGCGGCGCGCAGAGGGGGGTAGGGGGAGGGGGGGAGGCTTCTTAGAAGGAGGCTGCTCCTTCGAAGGCGCCGGCCTTACATCTACAGACAAGGCCCGCGCCTTCTATTGAGCCGGGGTGCTTCTGAGAAGCCTTTCCCCCCTCCCCCTATTAAAACAGGGCTAGGATCTGGATAAGTCGCTCCAGAGCGCTCCGGAGCGCTCTCAGAGCGTTCCGGAACGCTCTGGAGCGGCCGCGGCGCCCAATACATCCTCCAAACCCGCCGATTCTCAGGGATTTCGAGTTATCCCGATCCGATTTTGTCCCGATCTTCGCGTCGTTTTACCAATTCCCCCTCCGCGCGTGGCCGAAGATGGTCGGGTCCGACGTGCACGCTGCTGCGCCTCCGTCGCCAGGTCGCCGCCGTGCGTCAGCGCTCTGCCGGAGGGAGGTCGTGCGCTAATTTTTTCCTTGCTCAGGGATGACCGCGCCAGTTAGCGTCGGTGGCGCCGCTTGTCAGATGGTCCAAAGAGATTTCGAAGGCTCGCGTGCTGTTGTTCCCATCCGGCTTAAGGACCGCATCCCAGAAATAATTTCGAGCACCCGGAATGAATATCAAAAGAGTGTCGAAATGGTGTCGAAACAGTGTCGAAACAGTGTCGGGCGAGTGTCTCCCAGGGCCCGACACGTGAAAACCCTCGAGTT